CTTCCAGTATTATGGGGTCACTCTTTCAAAATAGTTTTAACTCATCCCATGAATACTTAAGCCCCCATGGGGATTCTCAGGCTCTGATTGTTTATCCTAAATAATTCTTATTTTCTGTTTCTACTCTATCCTCTAAGTCCTTCATATCTCTCCTCCTGGGGTTGTCTCTTCTCTTTATTAGATTTCAGGCATACCTCTTGTCCTAGCTATCCCTAAATCATCACTATGCAAAGTGGTCGTGTGAAGGAATGAAGACAATGCAACACAGCAATCTACTTAAAACTGTGCCCAACACAGCCTTATTTGTACACATCATTACACAGGCCTGTGCTGGTTAGTTTAATGTGTCAACTTGGCTGGGCTACGGTACCTAGCTGTACAATCAAATACTAGGTATTCCTGTGAAGCTATTTTGTAGATGTGATTAACATCTGCAATCAGTGGACTTTAAGTAAAGGACATCTCCCTCCATAATGTGGATGGGCCTCAGCCACCCAGTTGAAAGGTCTTCAGAGCAAAACTGAGGTTTCCCTGAAGAAGAAGAAGAAATTCTGCCTCAAGACTGCAACATAAGTTCTTGCCCGAGAGTTTCATCCTGCCCACCTTCCCTAATACACAATTGTATAAGCTGATTACTTGAAATCTATCTATCTAGCCATCCATCATCCATCCATCTCTCTATTATCTATCTATCTATCTATTCTACTGGCTTTATTTCTTTGGAGAACCCTGACTACTGATACAGAGCCTATCTCAATGTGAAATTTCCCATCCCTTTTATTTTCTCATATAAAGCAAGTTTTAAGAGAGAAAAAAAACCCTGATGGCAATAATTCATTAAATTTATTGTTATAAATAATACTGGCTACCATTTGATCAGCACTGATGTGTGTCAGACACAGTCATTATTCCTGTACTTGAGTGCCTATCTCTACTCAACTGCCTCTCTACGGACCGGTTTTACATCACAGCTATGTGGGTTTCAACCATATGGCATAATTTTGAAGGGACCCTTGTCAGGACCCTCTACCTAAAAAACAACCCCCAGGGGGACTGTTCCAGCACCAGAAACGCTACTCTTTCCTGTGGGCAGAGGTTTTCTTATAGACAAACCTTTGCATGGTGGAAATAACCTGGGAGAGGAGGGCAATAGTAATTCATCCTCTAAAAGACTCAATGATATATCAGCATTTTATTGACAGACAGGCAAAAAAAAAAAAAAAGAAAAAAAGAACAAACAATGGCCTAAATTTTTAATACGCGTAGTCTTGAGAATTATCCCCAGGGAGCAGACCTGGATGTAGTTCCCCAGTGGGCACCTGCAGGATGTGGTAGAAAGAAGAGGGAGAAGAAAGGTGGGAAACTGCCAAAGGAAGTGTTAACTCCTTCACACTTGAATTGGTTCCAATCACACCTGCTCCCTTTAGGGGAAGCCTTTCCATTAAACAACGATTGTGACAACTTGGCAGGCAGACTGAGTTTGGATGCAGGTAGATTATCAAAAGGGTTTTTTCCCTAATAACTATACCCTTTCCTGAACTGCAAAATATGTTTTCTGCTCCTGCCTTCTTTTCCAGCATCTCACAGGAAAGAAAAAGTGATTATCTTGTAGTCTACTGTTAGTTCCTCCAATTGTTCCTTTGACTTCATCATGTTCCCTTGTTTTTTTAAGAACTTTGTTCCATCTGTTTTTTTCTTTCTTTTTCCCAGTCTTGGGTCTGTCTTCTCTAGTGTATCTGAGTCTCCTCCACCTTGACAAAAACTTTCCCACATCCTGTTGCCTCTGCTCTTAGCTCACTACAAAAAGTGTCTATAATTTTTGTCTCCATGTCTTTGCATTCCGAACTCTAAGCAATGTGATTCCTGTGCCTCTCATTGTATTAAAACTCTCTCAGAACCCTTTAAACCAGTTGTGAAAAGCGGTAGTTTTTTTTTTCAGTCCTTGTCTTCCTGCTCCTTTTTTTAGTTCTCAGCACTACTGGCCACAAAGTACTCGACACCACTTCTTTCTTTGACTTTCTTGACACTTGCTGATTTTTAAAAATCTCCCCTTTACTGGTTGCATTTCCTCTTCCCATCCCCTAAGTGTCTATTTACTCAAAGGTTTAGATACTTTTAAAATTACTACATATGTCAACAAAAATAATCTCTAATTGAAAATTTACATTTTATTATTGTTTAAAAAATGTGATTACTCTCCCCCACTTCCTTTCCCCCATACATTGCCTTTAAATAAATAGATTTTTGATTGGTCTAATTTTAAATTTTCTTTTTTAAAAATTTTAAAATGCACATTTAATTCTAGCTCCTGAGCGACTCAATTATTTCTATTTGTTTTTCTTCTTGAGTGGGTAATTTCTTCTCTTTTAGGGTCGTACAGTAATCTTTTTCTTAGAGAAGAAGAAATATCGTTTCAAATTCTTCACTAAAACACAGCATCTTGAGCTCATATGATCAAACATACTGGTCTGAGTAAGTAACTCTTAGATCTCATAAACTATCAAATCTTATTCTTTAAATTTAACCTTTTGGGAGGAATTTTAACTCATATGAACAATCCTTAAATTTTTTTTAACCTTTTGCTATATACTAACTAGATTATTTATTTTAATACATTTCGGTAATTACATTTAGTTAAATTTTTTCCCCACCCTTAAGACACTTTTTATTACTTCTATCTAGTTGGATAAGCCTGCGACTATTGATCCAGATCACTTCCCTGAATTCAATTTCATAAAAATCTCTGACTACTTAATGGTCATTTCCCCTTGGAAGTTTTTATATCATCTCACCCTTAGAGTATCTGCCAAGAAAGGGCTTATCTGCATTCACAAACTAGTACATCTATCCAAATATCCTTATTTTTCTCCTGGTTACTGGGGTTATAAAGTCCCTCCAACCATAGCCACAAAATCTTATTGAATCTTCCTGAAGACCCTTGCAGTAGATTCTTTCACTTCATTTCCCCATTACCTAGTTCTCTCCTCCCTCTGATCTGTCCTACAAACTGATGCCAGAGAGAAATCATGTTTTAACACCATTGTTTTGTTTTGCCAGTTATTTTCTCCTCCATAAACCATGGTTAAAGAATAAAATTCAATTTCCTCTTCCTGATATTCAGGACTCTCTGGTATCCGATCTTAATCTTACTTTCTATACCTCCATGTTACAGTGACCAGAAATCTTCGGGCGACACTTCATCTTGTATTCCTGCCCCTATGCATGACACTTTTTTTTTTTTTTTGCTTGTTTGGAATGCTTTCCTCCTGTTCTCTCCTACTCCTTGCTTTTGGGTGCACACCTCAAATTTTGACACCTATTTGTCTGCTTCAGTTGCAAGTCCCTTCTTTTCTGAATTCCTGAGCCTTTTTAAGCACAAGCATATCTTTTTCTAAATGTACTTACGCTGATGTCCTCTTGTCGCTACTGAGTTGACCTTAAACTCTTCTGAAGTCAGGCACTAGTTTTTCTGACTCACGTATCCCCAATATCTAAAAGAGTATTTGTTGCTGCCAATGCTACGAGTCTTCAATAGCTTTATTTCAATAACAAAAAGGAAGCAGTATATCATAATGGCTAACAGTGGAGCTGTCAGACTTGGGTTTGTACTTTGACTCTGCCATGTCCTAGCTATGTGACCTTGATCACATTATTTCAACTTGCTAAGTCTTGCCTGAAAAATGCAGATAATAATAGTACCTGCCTCAAATGGTTGTAAGAATGAAAAAAGATAATATATGTAAAGTGTTCAGCATACTGCCTAGCACATATTGAAACAATAAATGTTAGCTATTACATAGTGGGTACTCAATACATATCTGATGAAGGACTGAATTAGCATTGTGCCATTGGATTAGAAAATTATACACTTTATAATTTTACCATGTTCTTCAAGTCCTGTTTCTACATTAGTTTATCAAAACTTGAAAGACCGAAATGAATTAAATGTGTATTACTGAATTACATTTCACCAGGCTTGGGCTGGAAAAAGTCAGTGATATTTATTAAGTGACTATTGAGTATACAATGCTGTAGGAAGCTTATAGTGCTTTTGGGTATAGATTAGACTGACCACATATTTCAGTAGAAAAGATAGATTAGAAAAATTTCAGTCTTGACTCCATTAATAATTAGCTCTCTGATTTAGAGTGGGTTGTTGTACCTCTGTGAGTTTTGGTATTTTTAGCCCTTCTAAAATGTAGTAAGAATTAAGTAAAAGAATATATTTGAAATATTCAAACATTGTATTCTATAAACAAAATCCTATATGATTAATGCCCTTATTTGCATATTTTACCTTTAAAAGGGTTGTTGTGTATTTTTAAATAGGTTTTAAACTATTTTCACTGATTTTATTATTTAGAAAATGTATTTTCTTCTGTTTTCTGAAACTCTGGACTTTTATTTACTTGAGGTCTTTTTTTTTTTTTAATGGTGAAATAAAAATGTACTTACTATGTGCCAGGAGCTATGTTAGGCATACACAAATACATACACACATAGTAAATGTAGTAGTGTTTAATAAAGTATTACTAAAGTGTGAAGTGAACACAGAGCAAAGGAGTAATTCATTCTTCCCTTGGAGGGTAATGGCAAAACTATGAATGAAGATTGAACATTTTTCCTGGGCCTTGGAAGTAAAGTAAGAGTTTGCGAGGTACCTACATAGGTGCATATTCCTGACAGTAGTAACAGCACGAGCAAAGACATAGAGGCTTGAAAGTGTTATTGTATTTATGAAATCATGAATGCTCTGTTATGATTACAACATTATTATTGTGTGTATGTGTGTTAGAGGCAGTGGTGTGCTAGGGTCAGCTCACACCAGCTCACTCATGAGAACCAATTGTGCATATATCTTCCTGTCTTTGCATTCACTGATATCTCCTGGGTATTTCAAAATTGGCCATTGTGGGAGCATTTATATCTGGGGAATTGGCAAATGCAGCAAATCAGGGTTTTGTTGTTGTTGATGGTGGTTTTTTTATTTTTTTTCCTTCAGAGAGCTGATTGTTAAACATTCATCAGCACACTTCTTGTAAGAAGTGGCAGTTTGACAAGGTTAGTCTGAAAAGTTAAATAAGGTGAGATCATAAATGGCTTGGTAAGATAAGCTAAGGAGTTTGAATTTTAAATAAGTTCCATTTATGATTTATACAGGTGTGTTACATTTTATGGGCAAAACCTCTAAAGAAAATGAAACTTTGCAAAGTGGTAACACGGATATATCTAAATAGAAACCTGATTATGAGGGCAAACGGTTACAAACTGTGTGAGTAGATTAGCATTGGCGATGCTCAGGATAAGAAGTAAAAACACTTGGAAAGTACTTGGTGGTCTTGTCAGCCAAAATAAAATATTCTCTGCAGCTGTAAGAATTCTAAGAATCATTTATACTATACTATGTAAACATTTGTTGGTAATGCTAACATTTCCTCTTGACAAGACTTCATCTTTCAGGAAATAACAAGTAAATGTTGAATGTATACAATTATTTCTTTAAAAACCCCTTTTCTTTGTGTTCCTTTTAGAAAAAAATGGCCAGTGAAATCTTTAACGTATAATGAACAAGTATACTAAAGGGTAGAAGTGTCAAATTAGGTAACTTCATTTAAACAGATGATCAATCACAGTCCTATGGGTCTTGGTTGTTTTTGAAATGAAATAGTCATTGAGAGCAAGCTAGATACTGAACTAACTTTGAATACATTTTAAGGGCATGATACAATCTGAAAGGAGAAATTAAAGAAGAAAGCAGGACATTTTCTAAAAATCCTGTGAAGGAAAATGGCTCAAGCTTGTACCTGATTACATTGATTTTTGTCAATAGATATTATATCTTCTGAAGCCTGGGTTAGAGTAAACAGTTTGTCAATAAGGACAAGTGCATTTATTATGTGCCAGGAAAATTCTACATGCTTTATGTGTGTAGTCTCTTGTTTGATATTCTCAAAAACTCTATATTGTATATTGACTCTTATCACTCCTAATTTACTGAAGAATATTCTTCATTTACCCCAACTTTGTTATTTGGCACAATGTCAAAAGAATAATAAGTGGCAGGGCGGGGATCCACAGCCAAGTAGTCTGCATTGTCATCATTAGCAGAATTCTTGACTACTGTTCTATGCTATAGCGGTATTTATTTATTTATTTTATTTCAAAATATTAAGGGGTACAAATGATTTTGTTACATGAATATATTGTATAATTCTGAGTCAGGGTTTCAGTGTGCTCATCACTTGGATAGTGTTCATTGTACCTGATAGGTAAGTTTTAATCCCTTATCCCATTTATCCCTCCCCCATTTTTAGTTTCCAATGTTCTTTTTATCTCTCTGTGTCTATGTGTACCCATTGTTTAGCTCCCACTTGTTAGTGAGAACATGCGGTATTTATTTTTCCGTTCCTGACATACTTCACTAAGGATAATCATCTCTAGTTCCATCTAAGCCATGCAAAAGACATTATTTCATTACTTTTTATGACTGAGTAGTACTCCATGGTGTGTGTGTGTGTGTGTGTGTGTGTGTGTGTGTATCACATTTTCTTTATCCACTCATGAATTGATGGGCACTCACATTGATTCCATGTCTTTGCAATTGTGAATTGTGCTGCAGTAAACATTCAGGGGCAGGTGTCTTTTTAATAAAATGATTTATTTTACTTTGGATAGATACCCAGTAGTAGATTTGATGGATTGAATGGTAGGTCTAAAATAGTATCACAGGAGGAAAAACAAAACAACAAGGTATCATTAAACATGATGAACAGAACAAATTCCCATATATCAATACTAACACTGAATGTGAAAGGTCTTAATGCTCCACTTAAAAGACATAGACTGGCTGAATGGATGAAAAAAATCACAACTCAACTATATGCTGTCTCCAAGAAACACATCTAACTCGCAAGGACTCACACAGACTCAAGGGAAAGTGATGGAAAAAAAATACTCCATGCAAATGGAAACCCAAAATGAGCACATATAGCCATTCTCATAACAAATAAAATTGACATTAAATCAACAGTGGTTTAAAAAAGACAAAGATGGTCAATTCAGCAAGAAGTTACAGTGGTTTGTAAAGTATGGGCCCCAGAGTAGCAGCAGCAGCGGTGTTACCTAGGAACTTGTTAGAAATGCAGATTTCCAGTCTCACTCCAAAATACAGACTCAGCTGACATGGAGTAGGGCCTGCAATCTGGGTTTTAACAAGCTTTCCAGATGATTCTGATACATGCTAAAATTTGAGAACTACTGACCTATACTACACTGCCTTTACAGTTATTTCTAAGAATATATAATATTCTCATGAAAATTATCTTATAATAATGAACATCATGTGGATGCATGTCATAACAGAATGATATGTATGTTGGAAAAGTAAAAACTGACATATTCTGCTGCTTCCAATATGATGGTGTATTATACCTTCCACAGTCAGAAAAAAAAAATTGTATCCTTAGATAAATTTAAACTAACAGGGTCACCCTGACTGATGGTACAAGTCTCCAATATAATGAGGCCTTACTATTTCACATAAATCAGACTTCCTAAGAAGTAAGAAATCATTTGATACCCACTTTCAGCTATGCTGATGTCTGAAGATACATTATAACCTTCCTGAGTATGATAATCATCTGAGAAATTGCTGTTTTCCACCAAGATTGGAATAACACAAATTTGTTTACACTGATAATTTTGTGCATGTGTGTTTTTAAAAATACTTGCTGTGTATTTTATTTGGTGATCCAGGCCTTCTGAAATCCTGGATTTCAGTAAATCCCATTTATTTACTGCATAATAAACCACCCCAAAACTTAGCTGTTTAAACAATTTATTATTATCTCTCATAGCACCGAGGGTGGACCAGGCTTAGCTGCGTGGCTCTCGTGTGTGGTCTTTCATGCAGTTGCATGCAAGTAATGGCTAGGAGTGAAGTCATCTGAAGACGTGAGTGGGCTGCATGGCCAATGTGGCCTACTCTCATGCAAGATGGTTGATCCCTGCTATGAGCTGAGAGCTCAGTGAGGTCTGTTGACCAGAGCTCCCATCTGTGGCTTCTCCATGTGGCTTAGATTTCTCAGATGATGACATATGGTGACAAGAGGCGATGTGCCACAAGCAAGTTCCTAAGACACCTGTATGGAAACTGCAAGCTTTCTAATAATCTACTTTCAGAAGTTCCAGAACATAATTTCTACCAAACTAAGGTCATCCCAGACTCAAGGGGATAGGAATTACACTCAATCTCTTGACACAGGGAGCAGCATATATATATATAAAGTAAGGAAAGGAATAGGTGGAGCCCTCTTGGGAGGCTACTGTAAATTCTCTTACACTCCTTATAAGTAAATATTTTCTTAATGTATCTTTTCCTCAGTTTTCTTTTCACAATAGAATCCTTTAGTTATGTCTTGAAGTTAAGCAAGTGTTGCACCATCATCTTGGACTATGTAGAATGTAAGATTTACCCTTTTGGCAAGGTAGGCAAGGTAATGAGTATATTCTGCCATAGTTGCATGGATGATGGTAGAAAGCACAAGACACCTGGATCAGAGACAAATGACACCTTTTTATTCACAGTTATTGAAGTAGCCAGGTTAGCACCATATCTTTGCTATGGTTCACCGAGCCCCAATTCCCACAGGGAGACAAGAAGAGAGCCAGATGACCCTGAACACACAGTAGGCTGTGTCACATTAGAGAGATCCTGAGCTTAGGCAACTCAAGTCTTTTAGAATGAGCAGTAAGCAAACCTGCTTTTTTTTTTTTTTTGAGACAAAGTCTCACTCTGTTGCCCAGGCTAGAGTGCCATGGCATCAGCCTAGCTCACAGCAACTTCAAACTTCTGGGCTCAAGCAATCCTTCTGCCTCAGCCTCCCCAGTAGCTGGGACTACAGGCATGTGCCACCATGCCCCCCAATTTTTTTCTATATATTTTTACTTGTCTGGCTAATTTCTTTCTATTTTTTTTTTTTAGTAGATACGGGGTCTGGCTCTTGCTCAGGCTGGTTTAGAACTTCTGGACCTTGAATGATCGTCCTGTCTTGGCCTCCCAGAGTGCTAGGATTACAGGCGAGAGCCACCACACCCGGCCCAAACCTGCTCTTTGTTCCAGTGGAAGTCACTGTCTCTAGGTTCTAAGATTATTAGGTATATAAATATCCTGGAAAGGATAGTCCAGAACAAAGGCAGTTAGTATCTCACCTCTAAGACACACAGAAATGAACAAGATCCATAGAGAAGTGCGCCCATCAGCCATGTGATGACGGTCCTGATAGGGGTGGAAATGAGGGGAAAAAGGTGGATCACCCAGATAGAGAAAAAGCAAGAAAAGCTTTATATTTTTAAAATTGCAAAGAGTTTGACTTGAAAAGTGTGACTGGAGAAGTAAATGAGGATACAACAACCTTGAAGAATTGTCCATAGCACATTTACGATTTTGGATTTCTTCTGTAAGCAATATCAAACTGCTGAACAGAGTTTATGAGGGAAAAGACATGATCACAGCTGTAGTATTATAAGCTCACTCTGATAGGATATGCAGAGTATTGAAATTCCTGGAGGAAGAGCACTCATTTAGAAGGAAAAGTAGCTGAAGAGAGACTGATCTGAGACAGTGGCAATTGGAGTGGAGAATCAGTAATACATAAAGAAGAGAGATGTTAAAGAGATACACTGCATAGACATAGAGTAGGCCACTGCTACCATCACTTAACACAGCGCATTATCATTTATTTCATTATAGTATCCTCCATTAACCTCTTAACTTCTCCAGGGGAAGGACCACATCATATATTTCTTTACATCCCCTATGTCTGATTCAATTTTGTTTGACGGATTGGTTGATGTAGGATAGGGTTTAAACTGCATCAAAAAATGAAGAAATTAGAGGTAAATAAAGACCCAGTCTTTATGGAACTTATATTCTAGTGGGATAATAAACAGATAATAAATTAATGAACAAATAAATATCTATTATGCCAGGTGATAAGTACTATGAAGAAAAATAAAGCAAGACAGGGGATGATGGCGGGATGCTATTTTAGGTAGGGTGGTCAGGAAGAAAGCCTCTTTGAGAAAATACACTTGGAGGTCCTGCCATCTCTATGCCAAAGGTCTACAAAATGTGTACATAGATGTTCTGGATATGCAGAAGTAGTCCAGAGTCCAGGCTGAGGTGTCCACTGAGAGTTAACGAAACCACATAGAAGCAGTGTCTTAGTGTACATTCATCCAGAAGCTAACCCTGAGACAACTTTAACAAACAGATAACATCATAAATATAAATGTAACAAATTTACAAATTTATTCTTTTTTCTTTTTTGAGACAGAGTCTTACTCTGTTGCCCTTGCTAGAGTGCCATGGCATCCCCCAGCAACCTCGAACTCCTGGGCTCAAGTGATCCTTCTGCCTCAGCCTCCCCAGTAGCTGGGACTACAGGCATGCACCACCATGCCCAGCTAATTTTTTCTATATATATTAGTTGGCCAATTAATTTCTTTCTATTTTTAGTAAGGGGGGGGGAATCTCGCTCTTGCTCAGGCTGGTCTCAAACTCCTGACCTTGAGCGATCCTCCAGCCTTGGCCTCCCAGAGTGCTAGGATTACAGGCGTGAGACACCGCGTCCGGCCTACAAATTTATTCTTGAGGTGATCTCAAGAGACCTCAGTTGGCAAAGTGAGGAAATGAGACAGGCATATAAAGGTAGCCAGTAAATGTGGATAATTGTAGCTGAATTCCACTGGGGAACTCTGGGAGCCAGTATAGGACATGCACTTCAGTGGTATCCAGGGTGTACTGGTAAATGCTTAACACTGAGCTCTCTGGGGAATAAAAAGAGCTCTGATTTGTAGTATTTGCCAATTTCTTTGGTGTAAATACTCCCACTACGCCCTTTTTTGAGCTACCAATGTGACATCACTGAACGTAGAGTTTGGAAGAACTCACAGTAGCGTACCATTAATTACATAGCATTTCCACCATCCCAATACAATACATGCCTTAATAAATAATCTCAAGAGCATAGGTTATGACAAAATGTATAATAGTAAAATCATTAGAAAGTTATGCATTTGAGTATTACTTTTGTTTTTAATATAATTTATTTAACTGAAATGTAGATAATTCAATTTTTAGTGACTGTTTAACAACTGACTCATCAAATTCCTAAAAATTTATTTTCAGGCCTTTGAAGCTAGTGTGAGATGACTGCAGCCTACCACTGGCATATCACACCTGAGAGGTGAGGGACCTTGGGTGTTTTTCCATAATGGCTGATGGCTGTTCTTGGGGGATGAAGGAGAGGAGCAGATACGACTTAATTTCTCTTGCTCTTCAAGATTGTACCCAGTGAGGCTAAAGCAAGCACTGGCACCCAGAGAAAACACTCAGAAGAGGAAATTGATAAAACCCGAGGATTAGGGTGGAGGACTTACAAAGCCCTCTGCAAGTAGGGAGAAAAGATCCTGGGTCCTGATAAGGTGAAAGTGATTCAGCTTAAGAAAGGACAGCCCATGTGTTCAGGCTGGTAGAGTTTGGGGTTTGCCTTTATATTGGCCTTGGTTTAGTGGTACCATGTCTCTTAGCAGGAAAAGCTTAATATACATAGAATTAAAAGGGATAGTGGCTGTTTCTTAGCAGACACTAAGGCAGAGAGCAAATAGTAGTTGTAGGAATGAGGATTGAGATTTGGTACTTAGGAGTAGCAAAGAAGGAGATATGAGGGGGTGTGACTCTGAAGCAGCCATACCCAAATGCTTCTTTTCCCCAAAGACTCAAGAAAAAGATAATCTTTGTAAAGGTTTTTTATGAGACTCTGCTCTTCTGTAGATGTCACCGAGGTGGCAACATCCTGGGTAACACACACCCTTTTAGAAGATGAAGAATTGGTGAGTTGCAAACATATTTATAAACTCCTTTGGTCAGCTTTTTTATTTTTACATATTTAAACATTCTAATCGCCACTGATATTTTAAATCTAATATATTTATCAAACAAATATATATTGAGCACTTCCAATATACGGGACCCTAGCCTGTAATTGATGCTACATGGAGGAAATCAGTACAATCACTTTGCTGATTAAGAATATTGCACCTTAGCTGCATTTGAATAAGAGAAAGAACCTCATTGATACAAAGTTTGTTTCTACCTTGTTTCCCTGCCTTCCCCATGAGACACAGTACAGCCCTGCAGAACTGGTCACATGCCTAAAGATATCACAGTCTACACTAAGGCCAATTTCAGATTTGAAAAATGTGCCACAGCCCTAAGTCAAACCAAGGAATCTAAGTCATTGTCCAATTTAATGCAAGGCTGCACTAACATCTCAGGAGGAAGTTCCCTCCTCCTCTTCACATTATAAAAGAAATCAAGGGCATGCAAAATGTCAGAGCTGGGTGAGTGGAATTTCAGAAACCACTGATTTTAACCCTTATTTTTACTTCCTCACAAGATAGCCAAGGTCTCTGATTTCTCTCTGTAGGAAGGTTGAGACACTACCGCCATGGTGGAAAAAGTGTGGGATTTGAAAGGGAAGACCAAGTTAACTTCTAGCGACACTCTGGCTTAAACTTTTTTTGTTTTGTTTTGTTGTTGTTGTTTTTTTTTTTAGAGACAGGGTCTCACTATGTTGCCCAGGCGGCCTCAAAAATATTTTAAAAACAAATATTGATTATTTACTCTCCTAGGCCCCATTTCTAAGAAATAAAGTTGTAGTGGTATCCATGATAGAAAAAATTTCTGGCATCATGAAACTCAGCTTCATTTTTTAAAAAAACATTATAGATAGGGTCTTGCTATATTGCCCAGGCTTGGTTCAAACTCCTGGGCTCAAGTGACTTCCCCACCGAAGCCTCCTAAGTAGCTGGGACTACAGGTATGTGCCACTGTGCCTGGATCAGCTTGATTTTAGATGGGAGGGGGAAAGTACTAATAGTACTACTAATAAGTAAACTGATAAATAACCAGGATAATTTTAAATATTGATTATGCTACTGTAGCAGAGATGATCATCTAATAAAATCTGCTCCTTATTTATATATGGCACTTGTAGCTTGGAAGTAGCCATACAGAGAAATACTGTAATACCTTTGTAGCTCGTTGCGTGGTCATGGGACTCATTCTCCCAAATGAAATGTAAAAGAAAATATTGGGTTTCATTGCTAGGCCAAGACTCTCTTTCCCTTCCCAGCAGCTGGACGGAAGCCTTAGAGAAGGGCAGCTCTACCAGATGGAAGCAACCTGGGTCTTTGCATAATTGCATGCAAGAGATTCACCCTTCAATAAAGAATACCCACTTTGGACTACTGTACATGAGAAATACATTTCTATTGTCTTTGAGTCATTCTACACTGGGGGTAGGGAGAGTGTCAGTAATCCTTCCCTTCCTAATGCAACAATACAGCAATGAGGAAAATGTAAGAGAATTATAAGGTAGAGAATAGCAGAGGGTCGAGCCGAGGGAAGCCTGAGAGTGGATGATATCAGAAGACCTGTCTGAGATGACATTTGCGCTGGTGGCATTTGTGCTAAGTCTAGCCGGGTTAAGATCTGGAGGGAGAGTATTTTAGACAGGGGAAATAGTAAGTGCAAAGTCCCTGAGGAGGGAAGGGATTTAGCCTACTTGTGGAATATACAGAAGGCTCAAGTAACTAGGGCAAAAAAAGGAAGGGATAGACAGTTTTCAGATGAGGTTGGAGAAGGAACCCGGCGGTGAGATCATGTAGAACCTATGAGGCCATGATAAGGAAATTGGTTTTTTATCTCAAGTGTGACTGGAAGCCATTGGTGTTTTAAGATGGATGGGGACATGGATTAGGGATAGATGTTTCAAAAAGAACACTTTGACTGCTGTATGGAGAATGGGTTATCCTGGGGCAGAGCTAAAATGGAATTTGCTCTTAGAAGAGTTGAAATATTTTAATATGTCTTGTAAGGTCCTCAGTGGTCCCATTCTTGATTCCATCCCCATTGCTCACTATCTTCCCTCACATGTCAGTAGTCATAGTCAGCTTGTTCAGTTCCTGCTGTCTTTTTTCTCTGAGATTTTACATATGCTACGCTTTTTCCCTACAGCAACTTTTCTCCACAGCTCCTGTTTCTCTACTCCTACCTGGGGCTCTAATCACCATATCCAGTCTCATTTTGAGCTCTAGTCATTTTGATCTACTTTTAGATTTAGGCTTATGCCATACTCTGTCTCTCTCCTGGGCATTTGCACATGATATTTCACTCCATCTTGGTCTTATGGACTCCTATTCATCATTCCAGTCCCAGCTTGGTTGGTAATTCACTTTAAACTCTTCTCCTCTCTTCTAAGTATGGGTGAAACATTCTACTTAATGCTCCCAGAAGCCTATACAGCTTTGGGGTTTACAGTGCTTTGTAATTGCCTGTCCACTGGACTATAAACTCTGTAAATCAGCAACCTTTGTTTCTATAGTATCTGCCACATAATCAGACATTCAATAAATAGCAATTGAATGGACAAATAAAACTAATACTAAATCCAAATAACTTATTCAAGGCTACAAATGAGAGCTGGAGCGGTGACTTAGAAGCTAGGAAGAAACTCAGTTGAAATGGGTTAAAGTCAGGGATGAATGGAGAAGGATCATGAAAATGGTCTCACATGGTGAGCTACCTACTTATCAGTTGTTGGTGTAAGGACATATTGGCTCACTTCAAGGTTTAACAATCAATCTCACCACTACCTTAAAGAGAGGAAAGCTCTTTTTAAGTTGGAAAGCATTATAAAAATTTAAATGATATTTTAATAATCTACAAATACTATTATTATTATTATGGTTATTATAGGCACTTGTGATGGACACATTTTTCTTTCTGACAGAGAAAAACACAGCTTGAGAATTTTCTTAAACATGCAAACGTTCTTGTCTGGAAAATGTTTGGTAATAAAGGTCACTGTGAACTTCTCGAGGAGCTCAGTGGGACAGAAGCAGCCTTTATTTATGTGTATTTATGTTCTTATTCACTGATGGCTTTGCTGAGGAAAGCTATATTGTCAAGTGCCCTAATTAAGAAATAATAATGTAATTGATTTTTTATGGATTATCTTCAATTGAGTCCCTTTACAACAGCAAACTCTCATTGACTACTCGGGATAATTGATGGCTTCTCAGCACAATGCCCTTGGCTGATTGCAGTGCAGTTGGTACAGCGTCTGACACCGATCATCAGCAAGCTCAGTTCTCACCACGGCGACCCCCAAAAGGCAGCAAGCTGGAGTGGAAAAGGGGGCTGTTAATTCACTGAGTGGCACAGGTCAAGTCACTTTCGGTTTTGCAAAATGAAGGGGTTGAACTAAATCAATGGCTTGAAAACTAAAAATAAAAATTCAGCAGAACCCCTTCATCACACAAATTTTATGTGGGAGCCATGTATGTAAAACAGGTCCAAGTGGTGTTAACGCTAGTTGAAGTGAGGTTGGGAAATGCAGCGCTGGATCTACTCCCCGCCTCCTCCTATGACAGCAGCCTGAAGGGTCAGGACGCACAGTTTGGAGACTCCTAGACTACGTGATCTCTAAGAATGACTCCAGGTCTGAAATTCTGAGATTCTGTGATATGACTTCAAGGACTCCAGAGTGAACCAAAATAGTTATTAGTCCCAGCTTTGAAGTAGATACATCTCGAAGCATGTGCCATATACCATCAAGGCAGAATATCAAACTCGGCTCAGAATATCCAGGCTGTGGTTTAAGCAGAGCAGAGCAATTTATGCCTCTAATTTTAGTGCTTTCATGCCACTGTGTGTGTGTGTGTGTGTGTGTGTGTGTACGTGTATGCATGTCCACACATACACATGTGAGTTGGTCCACAATCTTACAGGAGCTCTGAGTTTTCTTATTTCAGCAGATTTTTGTGGTGTGGTGAGGGGGCTGTAGTTACTGAGGAGAGAGAAGCAACAGCTGTTGTGGACCAGTGAGTACTGTGCTAGACATTTTATAAAAGGAGAGATATTATTCACATTCATTCATGAGAGAATTAAAGTTCTGAAATGTCAACCAAGGCTACAAGAAGTCTGTATGTCTCCAGAGCTCATACTTTTCACTACATGGTGAATTTCTTCCTACATAGACCCAGTTCCATGGGTTGGGAAGTGGGGTATTTAATACACACAATAATTCTGAAAAACTCCAGTCAAACATAAAATTTTACACATTTTACTCTTTGAGGGCTCAAAGGAATGGGCTAACTGAATTAGGCTTCATTTCAATTAGATTGTTCTTATATGTATGGAACAATGGTCCTCAACAGAGGGCGATTTTATCACCTCCCCCCAGGGTGCATTTGGAAATGCCTAGAGACATTTTGGTAGTCACAAGCGGGGGTGGGGAGGTGTGTGCTACTGTCTTCTAGTGGGTGGAGGCCAGGGATGCTGTTAAACATCCCGCAGCATGTAGGGCAATCCTTACCACAAAGAATTGCCTGGCCCAAATGTTGATGCTAGTATTGGGAAACTCTGATTTAGAGGTAATGGTAGCATTAAAGGAGGCATTACAAGGTAAGAGGGAGAAAAGGCCAGTATGGGTATCCAGATATAATTTCTAATTTATTTGATTTTTTGGAATAGTTTTTCAAGTCTGCTTTAACGATTCTTAGCTAGACAATGATGCCCTGATTAATAAGTCTTCTGGGAATGAAGATTAAGCCCTGTTTAAAAACACTTACATGTACAAGACACATTTTCATAAATCATTTGGAACAGAAGTTACCATTATTAGGGCTCCAGAAACACTGTCCTCTGAGCTTATGTTTGATCTGTACCATTCATAAGATCATCCTCTCCTCATATACCAAGGTGACACTTTGTGCCTATCAGATACTCAAGGCTCTCTATTCCCTTGCAGACACATTTCTTATA